ATGAAAAGCAGGGCCGGGGATGAGTTTACCTGGAGTTTACCTGGAGAGAGATAACACAATAAAGTGTCAGGGGCCCAAGATTGTTTGACTGCCTCCCAGCATACATAAAGGGGATTACCAATAGACCCCTGACTGTCTTCAAGAGGGGGCTGGACAAGCACCTAAGTCAATACCTGACTAACCGGACTGTGGTTCTTATGTTGGATTGCTGCTGCTGGCAGTAACAGCCTGTAATAATGTTGGTAGAATTACCGACAATTTGTTAGGTAAAAGGACACAAGTGCAACTAATGTGACATATTATTGTGGCCACACTGAGGTCCGGGGATCGAGCCACCTATACGGCTGGAAAATATTAGGACGTGTTTCTATAAGACACCTGCTGTCCCTGTTCACCCATCAGTGTAAAATGGGTACCTGGGTGTTAATGGACTGGTGTGAGTCGCATCCTGGGATAAAACTGACCTAATTTACCCGAAATGCTCAGCATAACAACCGGCTTTCTATATAGTAATATGTCATTAATGTCAGCTAGGCCTGTATAACTTTTATTATTATTATTATTGTTGTTGTCCTGGGAATTATTATTATTATTATAATCAAGGGGAAGCGCTAAACCCGGAGGATTATACAGCGCCTGGGGGGGATGTGATAAGATAAGATTTCGTTCGGATTTTTAACCCCGGAGGGTTAGCCACCCAGGATAACCCAAGAAAGTCAGTGCGTCATCGAGGACTGTCTAACTTATTTCCATTGGGGTCCTTAATCTTGTCCCCCAGGATGCGACCCACACCCAGGTACCTATTTGCTGCTAGGTGAACAGGACAACAGGTGTAAGGAAACGTGTCGAATTGTTTCCACCCGCCGGGAATCGAACCCGGGCTCTCCGTGTGTGAAGCGGGAGCTTTAGCCACCAGGCCACCGGAAGGCATTCAGGCTTAATTCGGGAAACTGGAGCACAGATCCAATTCCCTAAATCAAGAGCCCCTCACCAACATCAAGGAACCTTCCTTGAGGGGATTGTCCTGGGAAGAACATTGTCCAGAATGAAAGGAGCATGACCAGACGGGTTATATATTTGACCTCCGTCAGTTTTGTGTCTAAGATTGTCTATATCTAAATTGTCTAAATTAAAATGTAGGTAGGTAAGTAAACTGGTTAGTTGGTTGGTTATTTACTCAGTTACTTAGCTACTTATACAATTACACAAGCTTTGGGTGATCACAATTTCCTTACATATATGTTAATTACCTAGAACAGATGCATAAAAAGTCAGTGACTTATTTCCATTCTAAAAGTAAGTAATTTTATTTAGGTACAGGTACACATAATTATGTACAATTATTATACCTAGTAACATGTGTAAAGTACCTAGAATAACCCCCTTCAAAAAAGTTAGACAAAGTGACTTATTTCCACTGGGATCCTTGGGGGAGTCCCTTTCTAAATCTAAATTTGTTCAGTGACCTCGAGACCATTGTAAAATTAGAAATTATATATATATATAAATCTCAAACAAAAACCGGTAAGTAGTGAAGCACTTAATGAGATAAGATGACTATAATGATAATGAGTGAGTTTTCTCCAGTCATGGTGAGTTGGTGACAGCTGGTGGGCAGCCGGGCGCCAGCTGGTGATGTTCCAAGCTTGTAGAACTTTGATCAAGCCTTTACAGTGAGTATCTATCATCTCAGCTTACTTACCTTGCAACAACAGCTGTCAATTGCAACAACAGCTGTTGTCTTTGTGGGTTTTTTTTATATATCGAATTGATACCTAGTAGGAGGTAGGGCTGTTTTGTTTTAACCTCATTCTAAGTATTTTTTGTGGTGTCAATCGCTTTTGTTTGATGGAATAGATATTAAAATAGTTGTCTCTATGTGGTCAAGGTTTTGTTTTATAATTTATTTCGGAACCCTGTGGAAATAGTCTCATTATGTGACTGCTGGATTATTCTGGGTTAATATTACTGAATGTAGGTGAGCGCATAACACCTGTGTGAACGTGACACTGTCAGCACATAACACCTGTGTGAACGTGACACTGTCAGCACATAACACCTGTGTGAACGTGACACTGTCAGCACATAACACCTGTGTGAACGTGACACTGTCAGCGCATAACACCTGTGTGAACGTGACACTGTCAGCACAATAACACCTTGTGTGAACGTGACACTGTCAGCGCATAACACCTGTGTGAACGTGACACTGTCAGCGCATAACACCTGTGTGAACGTGACACTGTCAGCGCATAACACCTGTGTGAACGTGACACTGTCAGCACATAACACCTGTGTGAAAGTGACACTGTCAGCACATAACACCTGTGTGAACGTGACACTGTCAGCGCATAACACCTGTGTGAACGTGACACTGTCAGCGCATAACACCTGTGTGAACGTGACACTGTCAGCGCATAAAAAACCTGTGTGAAAGGGGACAAAAATCAGGCAAAACAAACCCGTTGGAAGGGGACACCCTTTAGCGGCATTTAAAACCTGTGTGGGAAAGGACACCGGCACGCAAACACCTGTGTGAAAGGGGACATGTCACGTTTAAAACCTGTGTGAATAACGTTGAAAAAAATGTCAAACGATAACCCCCTGTGTGAAATGAAAAACTGTCAGGCATAAACAACCCGTTGAAGGGGACACTTCAGCGCATAACACCCTTTTGTGGGGAAAGTGGGGGCAAATGGGGGTTAGCGCAAAAAACGCCTGTGTGAAGGGGAAAACTGTCAAGCGCATTAAAAAAACCTGTTTTCCTGTAAGGGGTAAAAATTTTAAAGGGGCCGCTGTAAACACCTGTGTGAAAGTGGGCACTTTACGCATAAACACCTGGGGTGAAAAATTTACACTGTTTAGCGCATTTCACCTGTTTTTGAAAGTGGCATGTCGCGGGATTAAACACCCGTTTCCAAAGCCTTGGGTTCACACAGGCTGGGGGGCTGGGTTTTTGGCCGAAAAAAAATTAAAAACCCCGGGTTAGGTTTTTACTTTAGGGTTTTTTGGTAATTCCCCCTTTTGTATCCGAGAGGCATTGGAAGGGTTGGGGAAAAAGGGAAAAAATTTGTTTTGCTGTTTGTGGTTGTGGATTGTTTTATTGGGGGGGGGATTGGGTTTTTAAAATTTTGAAAGTTTTTGTTTTTAGGGGGGGGGGGTTGGGGCTGGGGATGTTTTGGGATTAAAGGATTTTTTTAAGTGTAATAATCACTTGGGCTGCCCTTTTTTTTGGGGTATCCTAGGTTCTTTTTTTAAAAACCCCAAATTTTTGCTATGTATGTATAATAATGTAAATGTATTTGTGTTTACTGAATTAAAACTTACTATTTTTCTCCCGCCTGCAAATTAAGGGGAGTACGGGTTGTGGGAACTTAAGGGGTTCCCCGTAATTTTAGGTGTTTTTCGCATTTTTGTGTGCCATGAAGGGTTTCCCGTTCTTTTTTTCCAAAGGGCAGCCAATTTCAAACCCACCCCTTAAAAAGGGGCTTTTATTGGGGCAGGGAAAAATTTTCCCGCCCAGTAAACAAGCGCCTACCAGAGTGCCATCAAAGGCCTTTGGGATCCCTAGTTTTAAAAAAGGGTTTTCATTATAGATCCTGTCAAAATTTTTTTAGCAGATTCAAAAGATACAATGTTTTAATAAAATTTTTGGTCCCTTTTAAGGTGAGATTTCCCCGGGAACCCCTACACCTTCCCCCCGGTCTTTTAAAATTAGTTTTTTTTACTCTCTTGTGTGGTTTGAATTTGTTTTACATAAATTCAATGTAGTTTTAAAAATTTCCCTTACAAATTTTTCCCTATCAAGTTTAATTTTAAATTTTTTTCATTGAACTTAGCTTTGTTTTCTGCAGCCCCTTTTTCCCCTTTTAGGGTCCAAGGCCAAATTTCAAAGTGCCACCGGGGGCCAAGAATTTTTTAAAAAATAATTTTTTTTTTTTTCTTAAGAAAAATTTTTGGTAGAAATCTTTTTCTGAAATAATAAAAAAAAAAGTACGAAATTTTGATGGAAAATTGATGAAATTTTTGCCCCCCTTGTAAAATTTTTATGTGTCAGGATTTTGACCCCCCATCGGCGAAATTTTGCCAACGTGACCCCCCCCCCCTTTTAGGACCCAAATTTATATTTATTTTCCTGGGGGGCGGGGGGGTTTTTAAAATTTTCAAATTTTTCTTAGGGGGGGGGAAAACATTTTCAAATTTAAAAATTAACTTTCCCTTGGGGTATGGGGGGGGGGAACAAGAAATCTCCAAATTTTGAAAAAAATGAAGGATTTTGGAAAAAAAAACTTTAAATTTTCTCTTTCAAATTTGGTTTTCGTTTTTTAGGGTTTAAAATTAATTTGTTTTGATTTTTTATTTTAGAAAAAATTTTTTTTTAAAAAATTTTTGTTTTTTTATGGTTTTGGGGGGTTAATTTAATTTTTTTAAAAATTGGGGAATTTTTTTATATTGAAAAGGGGGTTATGTTTAAAAATGGGTTTTTTTTATTTGGGGGTGGGGGTAAATTTAAATTTTTGGGGAATTTTTGGGTAAGGGGGGGTTTAAAATTTATTTAAAAAAAAAATTTTTTAATTTTTTGTAAATTTATTTATTTTATAAATGAGACCAAAAAATTGCAAATAAACAAAAAAAAAAGATACGAAAAAAAAGCTGCCAAAATTGCTTTTTTTTAAAAGAAAATTACGGTTTTCGGTTTTTTCCTCTCATTATGCACTGTGGGGCCCGGGAGGGGAATTTTTTTTTATGTGGTGCCACCATTTCCCAAATGTATTTCCCCTTATTTTGGCCCAAAATTTTTCCCTCGCAGTTATCAGGGGCGAGCTGGCTCATGGCGTAGATCTACGGTTTGGAAACCCCAATTTTTATAACCCTAAAATCTACGGGACGGAAACCCCAAAAAGGGTTTTTAAAAAGGGTTGGGTTTATTCCACCTAGATTCTTTTAGTGTTTCAAAGGAGGACACTGTAAGCAAATTTGGGGCCATTTTGCAAAAGGAAAAAGTAAGTTTTTTAGGGTAATAAATACAATTTTAAAAGGTTAAACAAACAAAGCACAATTTTTTTGGGGAAAAACCCCAGGGTAATCCAAAAAAAAAAACAGTGCTGTGGCTTTTCATCCCTTTTCGTCAATAGAGGATGAGGGGAAAAAGGGTGGGAAACGAATTAAATGGGCCTTGTGGGAAAAGATCTTTTCATCTAGCGCCTAGACTTTACTCTTTCTACTACCGGGCCCCTTGTTTTGGGTTTTTTAAAGGGAAAATTTTAAAAACCACTACCAACTTTCCCCCGTTTATTCCCCTTTTTAATTTAGGCATTTTGTTCAATATTACAAAAAAAGGTCACAAATTGTCAAAGGCTTTTGGGGGAAAAACTGTGTTTAATTTTTTCCTGTATTTTTTTTGTTTTTCCCAAAAGGGGATATACATTTTTAAATTCATACAACAGTACATAAATTAAATTCATTTCAATAGAACAAAAATCATTTAAAATTTTTTAAAATTTATATTTATTTTATCAAAATAGATACTGTAAAAAATAATTTTAATCTGAAATTTGGGAAAATCTTTTCATTTATAAACATGGGTAATTAACTTTTTTGTATTTTAAAAAAAACATTTAACCCCTTTTTGGGGGCATACAATTTAATTTATAGGGTAATAAAAAATCTGCTTTAAAATAAACCATATTAGGTTTTTAAATAAAAAGTCATTCAGTTGAAGTAAGTTTTTTTTTGGGTTATTTAAAACCCTAATTTACATTTAAAAATATATTGTTCTTGTGGCACACATGATAATAGCACCCCTGTATTACCAATTTTTTGTTGTTTTTAAACTAGGGTGGCCCCTTTTAAAATAAAGAAAAAAAAATTACATTTTCAAATTTAGGTTTCCCGAGAAGATTAGGGATTTTTTTTTTTTTTTTTTTTAAAAATTTTTCTTAATTTTACATGTATTAACATACAATATAAGGGGCAAAACTACCTTTACATTGCAAACATTTGGCTCAGAACCAAAAGTATCCAGGTTGAAAACCCCATTTAGGCAAAATATTGCACGTCTCCTACCCATTTCCCGTAAATTATTTTTTGGGGATATTTACCCCAAAAATGCACGCATATGTATGGGCCCTTTTCCCTGAAGTTTAAAAAAAAAACAGTGTAGTAATACATGAAATTTTTTACCTGAAGGAAACCCAAAGGTGCTTTCCCGGGTTTTAACCAGGCCCCCTGGGGGGTCAACCTGATGAAAACCAAAAATTTTTAAAAGCGGGAAAATGCAGTCGAATACCACCACAGCCCGGTTTATCAGGAGGGCTTTTAAAGAGATGCAAGAACATTTAGCACATACTCCTCCTAACCTTTCCAATTTTTATTGCTTCCAAAGAAAATTAATTTGTGCACAAACGAAACAATTGGGAACGAATTTTTAAAAATGGGAAAGAAAAAAAAACCTATGTTTTTGGTTTTAGTTTTAGGTCCTACAGAAAAAAAGAGGTCCAGACATATTGTCAGTACTTACCTTCCCTTTTGTAGTCTCTAAGTGGATTTGTTTGTGACAGTGGTGCACATTTTTTTAATTAGCTTAGCAGAACCCCCCAAGGCTTGTGCTCTGATGCTGCTGCAAGACACTTGATCAAAGAAACTGTAGCTACCCCTTTCCTTCCTGATTGGTTCCTGTTATTCAGATGCTGTATGACCCCTGTGGATTTACCACTTCTCCTTGAATATACTATGATTAGTAATAGTATACTTTAATATTCAGCAGAAGTGGTCAGATTCTAAAAATGGCTACAGTGGCAGAAGGACAACGCTATGATTTTGTGGTCTTTGGAGCAACTGGGTATACTGGCCAGTATGTAGTAGAGGAAGTATCTCGTGTGGCCCATCATGATTGGACAGAGAGAAACATACCACTGACTTGGGCTGTAGCTGGGCGCTCTAAAGACAAACTTCTAAATAGCCTTGCAACAGCACGTAAAGAAACAGGTCGGTCTTTTTTTTTTATTTACACAATATAATTGTTTGAATGTGCTTGTCTTTATTTTTATACCAGTACCATTTTTTTTTTATCATCTTTGTCCTTAACAGTTTTAACATACAACTTATTCAGTATAACAGTGCAGTTCGCTTGTATTATTGGTGGTGTGCATATTCTATTATGAATGGTTCTATATTAAATGATACGTTTTATTACAAAACATTCTTGTTTCAAAATGCATATTCTGTAAAAGTAAATTGTTCTAAAATTTGTGGATGGAGGATAACATGAGGTACTAGTCATTAGCTTAGTGAAAATACACTTTATATGCTCATCTAATGAGACCTAATTAACTTCATTTTTCAGATATGTAGGAATGATGGCATTCTTTTTTGAACTTACAATAAGTTGAAAAGTAAACTTTGCTTACTTTGCTTATTACAGGTTTAAACTTGGAAAATGTAGCAGTCATCCTTGCTGATGTTGCAGACCAAGATTCCCTGAATAGGATGGCTGCTCAGTCCACTGTTGTTATCAACTGCGTTGGACCTGTAAGAATAACATACTTTTTCTCTTCACCTTATTATCTCTACAGTTAACTGCAGAACTAACTCAAATTAGTATGTCATTATCTTGCTTTCAGTTTCTATCTAAATTATACCCAATAACTTGGTTGCAACATCAATCATGCATGCTTGTTGAACATAATTTTAAGCATAAAATTAAAAGGTCAGTTATTATTCCTATCACTATTAGCACAAAAATAAATTTTTAATTTGATAGTTAATGCTCAAATTACAGCTCTTATCTTGGCAAGCATTCAAATCTATCTTTTCTGTCAAGCATTGTATCAATTTCATGTTATGTATTGAGATTGAGTCATGAATGAGAGTAATGGAGATAAATCAATTCATGATAATTATGCCAAAATGCTAGGAGAAATAAAAAATCAGTTAGGGGCCTGGTCCTTCCACAGTCCAACTAAAACCAAGTGGTTCATTGACTCATATTTCTTAACCTGCTTGTTTGTACAGTGGAACTCTTTTTTTTTTAAATATTTCTGTTTTTGCACATAAAAACATTGAAATGTTTGATGTATTCTTTAACAGTATCAGGTATATGGAGAACGAGTGGTACGTGCCTGTATTGAAAATGGTTCAAATCATGTAGACATCTCTGGTGAACCACAGGTAATATTTCATGAAGGATTACCAATCTATTCTTTGGCAAGTTTTTGGGAACTGTATTTTGCTTCAATTTATTTGTAAAATACACAGGTCACATGATAAAATATGTTTTTCACAACTGCTGAAACTTCTTCAAATGTATTTGTTTTTATTGGATACTACATATTAGTTATTTATATTGTAATGTGCTATTTCTACTGTAAAAGTAAATATAATGTTATTTAAATACTGAAGTAACAAAATTAGTAGGCCCATGATTTGCGCAGGAGATATTTTCCCAGAAAAATTTGCTTTCATATTAGAATTGCATAATTCAGATATTAAGTTATTGTAAATAAAGATTCATTTTAAACACATGGAATAAGTACTCCTGCTACTTCCCTGTGGCAGTCATACTAAGGATATAATGTACTGAATTTACAGTTGTGTGTTAATTGTAGTTCTGTAATAATTTAACTGCTAAGAAACACATTAATAAGTAGTTTTCTGCTTTAAGGTTATAGATGTTCACCAGCACTGTCATTGATATTCAACACCCGTATCCAACACATAACATAAAGTTTCTAAAACAGTAGGCATCCTCTCAAAGATACGTTACTGTGTACCCACAAACAGCACTACTTACATTATACTATTCACTGATCTACCCAAACCTTGCCTATGCTATTTGTGCATGGGATTCCACAACAAAAAACCACCTAAAATCAATAATAATAACAGAAAGCCACAGTGCAAATGATCACACAATCCACTGCTAGACAACACACCCCCTACTCTTCAAATACCTAAACCTACTCGCTATACAAAGCATTCACTCGTACTATTGTGCAACCTACATTTACAGAACAGTCAATTCTGATATAAATCCCGACCTGAAACACTTTCTTAACAGTTGCAGTAGGACTCTTAGACACAACACTAGGCACAAAAACCTCTATGACATTCCCTGTGTAAAGCTAAATCTTTTCAAAAACTCATTGTACACAAAAGGGCCCAAAATCAGGAACTCTCAGCCAGAAATCTCCAGAACCACTGGTTCAGCTAGCATTTTTAAAGCTACAGTTAAAAGACAGCTTATCTCCTTAACCTATCCCATCCAATACATTTGTAAAAACTATACATGCATTTGTTCGTTATCATGAACATGGGTAAAATTTTCTCATCAATATAATCAATATATACTTGCTCTCAATATCTGTATTCATCTCAAATGTTAATCACTCCATTGTATCCACCTGAGGTTAATAATCAAAATTGTAAGTCTTCTCTACAAGACTTATTAAAGCCATGTAGCATGACCTAATAGAATACTAAAGTCTTTTGTATTCATTGTAACTCATCTAATGACCATATGTACTGTTATTGCCTTATTAATCTTAAGTTAATTTTAAGTTTGCCTGGTATGTTCTGCATATAAAAGGGTTTTTGGCATGTACAGCCATCATACTTCTTTGTGCATACATGTATCATGTCAAAATAAATATTCTTCTTTCAACAAACCAGCCGTTTCCCACCGAGGTAGGGTGGCCCAAAAAAAGAAAAACAAAGTTCTCTTTTTAACTTTAGAAACGTATACAGGAAAAGGGGGTTACAAAGCTAGGGAAAAAGAATCTGTCCATTTCCCCTTTTAGTAAAAATAAAAAGAACGAACTTGAAGAAAATAAAGAAAAAAAACCCCGAGGGATTTTAATACATAATGCTTTTACATGTGTGTAGTTCCCCAAAGTGTAAGTAAAAAGTAGCAGGACATACTTAAAATTTTGCATGTTTATAAAAACAAAAAAAAGACACCAGAAAATCCTTTTCTTTTTTCAACACCGCCGTATCCCACCGGGCCGGGTGGCCCCAAAAAAAAAAACAAAAGTTTCTCCTTTTACATTTAGTAATATAACGGGAGAAGGGGTTTACTACCCCTTTGCCCCCGGCATTTTATCCCCTTTTACAACACCAGGGCTTCGAGGGAAGAATTCTGTTCCATTTCCCCAGGAGATAAGGGGGAAATAAACAAGAATAAGACTAAAAAAATAAAAAGAAAACCCAGAGGGGTGTGATTATGTGCTTGTCATGTTGTGATGTGATTTAAGTGAAGTAAATGTGCAAGAGTACCCGAAAACTTGCATTTCATGGACAGAAAAAAGGACACCAGCAATCCTACCAACATGTAAAACAATTTCTCATTTGGGAGGATGGTAGACCTCCCTGGGGGGTTGCTTTACTAACCTACTACCCACAAAAAAAATAATATTATTATATTGTGCATTTACTGTTTTGGTTTCCAAAAAATTGTCATTTATCCCGGAAAAATGAAAATAATAGAGGTTTGGACCATAATAGGTTTTGTGTATTCTAGCAGCAATTTTCACTGAAAAACTTTAGATATTTTTTTAAAAAAAAATTTTTATTCTTTTGGATGGAATATTGTTTATGAGAATGCAAGTACTGTGTTTTACATTTAGTTCCTGAAGGTATGCAGTTGAAAAACAACAAAGCACAAGAAGGCAGGAGTTTCATATTGTTGGGGCTTGTTTATGACTCCATTCCCAGAAATACATCTTACACATGATCAAAATTTCAAAAAGGATATCTTTTAATGCTTATTTCGTATAGTTCAAATTTATAGGATATTTGAATAGGTTCTAAAAAACCCTATTTTCTGGGATTTAAGGTACATTTTTCTTTTTTCCAAAAAATTCGGGAAAATCACCCTGTCCTTATAAACTCAAGGGTGAACAAGGTTGGCTTGGTTACTGGCTAGTGGGGGTTTCAGTGTTACAGTACCATAAACGAACTCCAAAAACCTCCCCATCCCCCCGAAACTTTCCCCCGTGATTTATCAACAATTTTAAAAGTTTCTTTTTTTTTTTTTTTTTTTTTTAAACAAGCGGTTTCCCAGGGCAAAT